CATGATAGACGAGGTCACCGTGTCAGGCCACCTGGAAGGCGAGAGGGGGGGAGGGCTGTGAGAAGGCGGACTTAAGATGCTGGTCGAGTCCTCTGTGCCGCCTGTGATTGGTCATGTCTTTTCGCTCAAAGGGGCTTGTGGCGGTGACGCCCGCCTGAAAGCCGGAGAGGCTTTGATGTTGCCCGTCCGTATGGTTCCGTCTAGCCCGTTAATGTCTCCACCACATTTAGGCCGATCTCATCCCCCACCTCCCCCTCGCTGTGCTGACTGCAGGATGCCATCGCTTCTCAGCACTTTCCTTGACTACCAGAACTGTAACATAAAATAGTTAATATCAATGCGGTATGAATGTGTGAGCAGAATATATTCCCTTCTTCTTTTGGTCATTTTAATTAATAATATAGCCTACAAGGAACTCATAAGTCATTCATGTTCTGAACAGTGGGGGAGACATGGGTGTTCCAAAAATGTCCATGTCATCATGGACAATCAAATATAGTTGACATTTTATAATTATCAACCAAAGATGCAATGTCGGACCATTTAAAGATAACTTAATCAAGGGGAAGCAGTGTTTTGCAGAAAATAACCGATATTGTCTCTTATTGTAAGTCCAACATATTTGCTGGCAATTGTATGTACACACACATGCAATCGCCTGCTGCTGCCGCCGCGCCGCTTCAAAGCTAAATCAGCATGTTAATATCACAGAGGAAATATCCCGGCTTAACGCTTCACGGCAGAAATTGCTTCTTGGCCTGTGAGCGCCGTGTTGGAGAGGCTTTCACCAGGCTGTGCCCACTGTTGCACAATATGTGTTGCTGGATTTTTTCATTTTTTTTTTCTATGTGAAACTGTGTTCACACTTTTATTGTTGCCACTATAATGTGTGTTTTTCTTCCCGTGTCTGAATAAGTGCGAGTGTAGTCGGCTTACGTCTTACTTGCTTCAACCTCATTTCCTTCTCGTTGCTTTTCACCACCTCGACCACCTTCTGCTATTAACTTCCCCAGGCCTTATTTCTGTTTACACCGCCTGTTGCTTTGCATCTCCGTCTCTCCCTGACTGTTCTTGTCCTGCCGGAGCGAAGCACTTACAAGCAACTATAACGACGTTTTGTGTCCATAAATCACTTTGATGCTCAATGCAGGATCACAAACAACTGCTCTCGATTGTCTCCATTCATCTATGAATTAATATGAGTGAGGTGTGCAGTACTTGATGTATTTGTACTTCACAGTATATGAAAAGATTTTTTACAGTTATTTCATTACATGTTATGTTCAGACTTTCCAAACCTTTTTTTTTTTTGGGGCTCTAGCTGCAGCTTGGCAGTGCGATGCATTAACGTCGTGCCGCTCCGCGCCGCCCGGACAACCAAATGTTGTTTTTTCTCACTTGTGGAGCTGCTGCTGCTGTGCGCCACACCAGTGACTGGTTGTGAGTGTACTTTTACATTTTCATCACACCCTCCGATCTATATTCCTCTTAGCACCCTGGGCTGCGGTCACATACGCAACCCAAAATAGAACGTGTGCTTTGTGGCGCTCGGTGCGGAACCTGACGCAGCGTGAGGGGGTCCACACAAAGGAAATCAATTAGAGGAATCGAGCCTTTTCATCTAAAGGTGGCATTAAAGTGATGTAGAGGTTTATTCATTATACATCCGTCACACTGTGTGTGTCTGTATACATCAGGGGCAGCTATTCCCCTGGATGCCCTTCGGGGTAGAGTGGTAAGGTTAGGACATGTAAGAAGACACTGCGATGTCAGCAAGTTGCCATGACAATCCCGTCGTTCCCCCACTGCCCCCCATTTCATTGTCCTTTTTCCTCCTCTTGTCATTCAGGGGGGCGAGGTCACATGACTGAATTGATCCCCGCATGCGGCGCTGCCCCCGGTCCTTTCATTCTTTCTTTTTATTTTCCACAGCCCCACTATAGATGGTCCGACATCGACCCTCGGTGCAGCATGTGAGAAATTCTGACTCCTAAAAGAGGACGTTATTAAATAAAGCCGAACAGCTCATTTAGATTTATCTCCGGCGCGCAGCACACGTGGGGATCGATCTCCCCCCCCCCCTCCCCCCGTCGGAGTGAATAGGTAATGCAGCATAAATCAACATGACACGACTCTTGAATAATGCACAATCAGACGACTGCTCTGATTGAACCGCGACTCACTGAACGCGTATCCGAGGGTGCCGCGCTGCTTCCTGCCGTCCCGTCCCGCAAAGTTCCGCTCGGAGGCGGATTGCAGGCTGATCGCCAGGTGTGCGAATTGCACAGCCTAAACTTTCTGAGCCTGCAGGCGCTGTGACAAGGCAGCGGGAGTCGCGCCGTTTATTTTGTCTACGTAATAAAATGAAATCACGAATCTGTGCTGATTAGTTTGGTTCCCCCGGGGAGCTGCTCCATTAGGGGCAGTGGGCCTTCTCTCGAGGGGGAGGGGCGAGGAGAACAGAAGGTCGTGGGAGGGGGGGGCCGTAACAGACCACATTTAATTGTTATACCTGTAATTCCGTTTACAGCCGAGGCACATATTTGATCCACTGGAGGCCCGTGTGTTCCGCAGTTCCTTGTAGTTCTTTTGAGGAGAGTGAAGTGCCCCAAATCATCTATTAAATGAAGCATGATTCTTTTTTTTGGACTGCAGAATCAATCAGGCTGCCAGCATTCCGCTAAATCGTGACAATCTAATAACAATCCCCCAAATTTGTGAATGTTGTATAAGGGAAGTTGAGTCCTCGGTAGCTGCACTGAAGATGTTCACATCAATCCGAAAGCATCAGCGAGCCACCTGGGCATTTGCCATCTTGTCATCGCGCCTCATCTTCACGCCTCTCTGCTGCCATTCTCCTCTCCTCTCCGTTTCGCACTCTTTCATTCCTACACGCTCCGAATGAGTCAGTGCGGCTCATGATGAATACCGACAGACAGACAGACGAGAGGAGCCTCTTGCGGAGCGTGGAGGAGGCTGAGTGGAGACCACGAAGGTCGGGTATGAGAGGGATGTTGCTGAGCAAGCTTCACACTCTGTTACACCGCCGGATCAGTCGCCACGGAGTGCAGACCAGCACCCCCTCATCCCCCCCCCCTCCTCTGTTTCTTTATGTTCCACTGCTCTCGCCGTTACTTCACCGCCTCATCCGTTTCCCTTCCCCTCCGCTTTCTCTCCCATTGATCACTTTTTATCTCCTCCGCTCTGTCACTATATTGCCTCTCTCTTTCTGGAATGTGGTGGAGTAAATCTCTCCCTGGCACACCGCCGCGTCCATCCCTCGTAAATAATGGGCCGGAAACTCTAGATTGAGGTCAACGGTGCGATATAAAGCTCTCCAACCATACTCCCCCCGCCCCCCCATTCATACCCTTGATGCCCTTGCAGGCCACGTGTTCGTGTCCACATGCATGTTATAAAGAGTCTCTGCGTGTATCTAATGTGCAGGCAGGGTGTGACCTTGGTCTTTGAGAATCATTCCTCTCCCACAGGGCTCTGCGATAAACAATGATTTTGCCTCCCAACATTTGCGCGCCGCGGGACTTCATCTTTCCCGCGGAAGTCCCGCGGGCCCCGTGCATGCAGCAAAGTCAGCACAAAATGACTAAAATTCATTGAAAGTTGCGGCTTAGGATTGTGCAGATGCTGACTTTGTATAACGGAAAAGTGGAAAGCCAATAGCTTCAATGGAGAGCTCCTAATCCATTACCTCCACCGGTGTAGGAAAACCACGTGACGCCTGTGACGGATCGTCCCTCGCGTTAAAGGCGTCTGCTGCCGCCGTGGCAGCGCCTCCCCCCCCCCCCAATCGACGGCTCTGCCCTGGCGTCCTTCATCCCGGCTCGGGTTTACGGGCCCCAGTCGTCACAAATCAAAAAACAGGAGATTTGAGTCTGTGAAGTGACCCAAAGCGACAATCTTAGACCCGTCCTCATCTTTGTACTTAGATTAAAGAGATTGCTTTGTTTACCACAAGAGACGGATTCAGTAGCTTTTTCTGTTTTCATTTTCAACATGGAAACAACGAGATATGACCTCCTGCCGTCCTTGCCGGCTATAATGACTTGTTTTGGTGGGGAATGGCTCCAGTTACATTGTGTAACTGTTTGGTTGCCGCAGCGAATCGACACACTCCGCCGCCAGGATATGACAACTGGTCCAGCGATGGTTACCAGTTACCAAGAGTAGTGAAAGACTGCTAAGGGATTCAAGTCTGCTCGGTTCATAGGAAGGAAACCACCACAGACCCTATTTATATATCTAATTAAATGCACAATCTCACGTAAACATATATATGCGTGTGTCCTATCGGGCTGAGATTTGTCTTTTTAAAAAATGTCTCCTTCCCGCAACCTATTCCTCTCTTTCACTGCTCCCCTGCGGTTTCATCTGAAGAAGCCGTGATGTAATTAACTGTGGACGAGGATTTGAGCTTAGGGACGCTGCTGAAGCTGTGCTAGAAGAGCTAACGCGTGCGTGCGTGCGTGCGTGCGTGCGTGCGCGGAATGGACGAGTGGCTTGTAGACACCTAGCCAGGGAACATTGAAAAGTGACTGCTTTGTCTGCTTGAGTAATTCACTCAAACATCGATTGCATATGCACACACACAAGTCTCCACCAGCGGCAATGTTCCAGGCGTAATTATAGAGCACCCACACTCCCCTTCCCTCCCTCCCTCCCTCCCCCGCCGATTACAGCGAGTAAATTGCCCCGACTGGTCTCCGCCGAATGTCCACAGGAGGTGTTTCCACTTGTCTAACTCTTGGTTATCTAACTTTAATGACTTTAATTACTTTTTCCCTTCCTGCGGCAAAGTGGCGGCTTGCGAATCACTCGCCCCGGCGAGGCCTCGAGAGCCCCCGCGGGCTAATGTTTCCCCGCGAAGGTCCGCTGGCGGCTGAGACTGCAGGCGTGCCCTCGGGTCACCGCATCTCTCGTTCAAAGGGATGTTTGAGTTCCGTGCAGCTTTCTGATTGGTCGTCTCTCCGGGTGTCTTCCAGCCGTCATGTACGTGATGGGAGCCCTGGGACCTGCAGCCGGCTACCTGCTGGGAGGCGTCCTCATCGGCTTCTACGTCGACCCAAAGACTGTGGTCAACATCGATCAGAGTGACCCCCGCTTTGTTGGCAACTGGTAAACGTGCATGCACACGCGTGTTTTATTGCGCTGTCCCTTCTCCCGTGCGTCAATGAATCCGTTCTCAATTGTCCCAACCCGCTGTCTCCTTCCCGTCAGGTGGAGCGGCTTTCTCTTGTGCTCCGTTGCCATGCTTCTGGTCATCTTTCCCATGTTCGCCTTCCCCAAAAAGCTGCCGCCGCGCCACAAAAAGAGGAAGAAGAAAAAGATGGGCTCGCCCGGCGACGTGTCCAGCGACGACGAGGTGATGAAGGAAAAGTCCAGCGGCAAAGACGAGAACGTCTCCTCCTCCATCGGCTTTGGGAAGGACATCAAAGGTGAGAAGCGGAGAACATCGGCCTTCCCGTTCCACCCGGAGAGGTGTCGCATGCGCCCTGTAGGTAAAGAAACAAATGGGCAGTGATCCCATCGATGGGGAGGATCACTTCTTATATCGAACAGCAGAAGCTCTGTTCAGATCTCATTTGAAGGCACCACAGGCAGTTTTGGCGGACATTTGGGTCCATTTACTTCAGTAGATTAATAGTAAACATGGATTTAAGTCATGAATGATTACCATCAGTTGGGATGAAACCCTTTTTTAAATGTTTTGAGGAGCTTTTATCTTCATCCCAGGGATCTCCTGGCTTCCCCTGGATGAGCTGCATTCTGCTCCAGTGTTTCTTCTCTCTGTCTGTCTCTAATGAGCTCTCGGGGGAACTCTCGGTCACGTTTCCACACACCGGAGTGGACCGTCTGAGCTGCAGAGTGCATGTTTGCTCTCACACCCTTTGTAATACTATTTTAATATTAATAGAAATGTGTGGAGACTCTGTAGAATCATTGGTGTGGGGGATCAGATCCTCCCCTCCTCTTCTACCTGTCCCTGCAGCACGTCTGCTGTGCTGATCTAGCAGACCCAGGCACTTCGATGTTTGGACCTCTAATGTATTGTAGGCTTGTGTGCGTTTGTCCAAAGCGCAAATTGTGCTCTTTTCGTGAGACGCACGCCGCGCTGAAGAAGCTGTTTTCACCGAGGAGGTTTTCCCCTCTTAGGATCCTCAGCAAACACTGGAAAATGCCAACCATGAACATTTTTGTTTAATAATGCAGCTTTGACTCTGGAATGTTCCGTGGGCATCTGCAGATTCTCAGCATTTCTTTCTTTCTGCTGGTATAAACTGACGGCATGAAAATAGTTTCAAGTAAGTCCCGACTATTTCATTCTCAAGGTCTGAACCAGGTGATTGTTAAAGTTACTCTGAATACGTCTTTCTGTCAATTTTTATAAATGTACAGTTTTTGAAGATGAAGTGAGAGGAGCAGGACAAAGTGGATGTTGAAGGAACGTCTTTTCAATCTGATTGGCGTTCTCAGCAGACCCCTCATTGAGTTGGCGGCACTGCGGTGACACAATTCGTGAAATCGTTAATCGCGCTTGAGACTCACGTTTTGAGTTTTTCCACACGGAAAGCTCAAACCGTTCTGCCCGGCAACAGAAACGCCGGCAACAGAAACGCTCTTCCAGTGTGATGCCTGTGTGTTCGAGACTTTTAAAGATGGTGTTAAATTACAAATTATTCCACCAGTTAATTATGGCTCAAAGACTGCTCGGGTTACGATCACAGACCAGCTTTTTCCTTATTTACAGCGTCCCAGTAACGATCCTCCCAGCTGAGTTATTGTGGGCGCGAGAGCCACACTAAAGAGGCCGGCTGTGTGTTAATTGCAGCCGATGCTCCGTCTCGTCTTGTTTCCTTCTCGCAGACCTCCCCAAGGCAGCACTGAGGATCCTCAGCAACAAGACCTTCCTGTTCGTCAGCCTGTCCTACACGGCGGAGTGCGCCATCGTGACCGCCTTCATCACCTTCATCCCCAAGTTCATCGAGTCACAGTTTGGAATCCCCGCCTCCAACGCCAGCATCTACACCGGTCAGTCTGTGGAAAGGGCGCCGGCCTCGGTTCCCGTTGTTCTTTTCTATCGAGTCCATCACAGTTGCACAGCGGACTCGGGCTCAGCTTTGAGTTGTCTGTGAGTCATTGGTCACTGTCGCTTTGGGGGGGGCCTGATGAGGGACACTTTTAGTAATAGCTCATTTACTTCACAGATAAACAAATACTATTACAATTTTGCTAAGAGTGTGAGTGTGTTGGTGTCCATGTATTGCAGCTAAAATCTGATCACCTTTTTTTAGATGCACAAACAAATGCGCGCACAATGCCACGGTCGCCGAGGCCAGTTGCCAGGATACAAGGGGTTAGGGCCGGCGGTGCGGTTGCCATGGCCTCCTAAACGATGCCAGGTTGCATGGATGTGATGGTTGGTAAGCAGCAGCAGCAGCAGCAGCAGGAGAAGGAGAACCATGTGCTCCTGTTGATGGGAGAACACGGCTTCCTCCAACACACAGATGGACTCGCCAACTGTGACATTTCCCCGATGAGTGTTAGGTTATTTAGGTCTTCTTTTTTCAAGCACGACCAAAGTACCAGACGGAATTGTTGTAAAACCAGTGAACCCGAGAGCCTGGAAATGTCGTCTCAAACTCGGTGTCATCCTGCAATTGATTGCGTTTTTTTATTTTATATGAAGAGCACCAGGGATTTTATTTCAACTACGGGGTATCTCTGAAAAATGGCTGTTCATGGGGGGATTTATTAAACATTACTGTGATTGGATGTTAAACATCTTGCTAAAAATGCAACAAATTTTGAAATAACTGGACTCTAAAAACAACTTTAATGTGCATTTAATATTGATTATTATTTGCATGGTTTAGGTCATTGCTTCTTAGTAGTTGTGTATGTTGAAATAAGTCATCAAAAAATAATGATATTGTATGTCTCAAATGGACACTAATGCTTCTTCATATATGTCGGTTTGCGTAAATAAGCAACAGCATGTTAACAGGTTCCCCGGTACATTGAAGGTACTTCAGTGTTTGCGCTTTCAGATAAAACCAACATCACTCTAGATCTTTAATGAAACGGATTAGGATTGAATACGGTCCTGTTCACTTCACTTAACTCTTATATTGTGTTTCGGCTGTAGTTGCAATATGTCACAACAGTGCTTTACTAGCAATAGATGGAGGAATTAGTTTGGTTAATAGACCTTTGCGGCGTGAGCCACAGTGGCCCAGAGAACGCGACCAAGCTTGGCCGTACTGAATTGCGAGGGATCTGTAGGAAGAAACCAGAAACGCTGCAATGGAGAAACCGAAGATGTCAAAATGAGATGAATGGAAATCTCACAAATGACCACCTTGGTGTCTGCTTCTCAGCTGATTAATAGCCGCTCTGCGCTCATTAGAGATGGTCTGTAACACATCGCACACTTTCCATCTTCTGCCACCCACAAATGACATTTCTCCGAACCGGGATTACTTCTCTGACTGACCCCATCTTGCTCGTTAACCGGCCCGTGGGGGCCTGTGGCCGGGCTCAAAGGCCGCCACGTGCCACCTCCCCGGGCCTCACCTCCGTCACAATCTGACACACACACACACGTGCGGTTCAACTTGCCGTTGGCCAGCTTTGCCTTTTTTCTTCACGCTGTCAGTTAGACCGGCTTCAGTGGAGCGGGTCACGTGCTCCGTGCTGCCACAGCCTCAAATGACTCACTGGAAGCCCCAAAGTGCAGCTTGATCACATTGATGGAGATATTTATTCTTGGACCAGGGTGAGAAGTCACTTTGCTATTTGAAAAATTAATTTAAAAAAAGGAAAAAACTGATCTAAAAATACCAGCTGTTCATCGCACTCAGTGATGTTTTACAGCAATTATTTTGGTGTTAAAAAAAATCTTGACACTAATTAGCTGCTCTATAGCTGAGCCTTTGTATAGCACAACCCTTTTTTGTAAAACTTTTTTTCACTCAGTCTCACCCTTTTTCACAAACCCTCACAGGTGTGATCATCGTACCCAGCGCCGGGGTGGGCATCGTGCTCGGGGGCTACATCATCAAGAAGCTGAAGCTCGGCGCCAGAGAGTCGGCCAAGCTGGCCATGATCTGCAGCGGGGTGTCCCTGCTCTGCTTCTCCACCCTCTTCATAGTGGGCTGCGAGAGCATCAATCTGGGAGGCATCAACATCCCGTACACCACCGGGTAGGGACCAACGCACTGGCCAAATCTAGAAATAACACGCGTGCCGGAGAAAGGTTGTGGGGCGCGGGAGGCTGTCGCCGCTCCATCGCCACGTGCTGGAGTCAGAAATGATTCATTGGCACCACTCGCATCTGCTTTTGTGGCGCCGTCTAATCTCTCCGCCGCCTCTATTTCTGCAGCACGTCAGCGGCCAGGCTGAACAGTTAACGAAACAGTCGTCCGATGCGTCAGCCCCCCGCAGACAGAATGAAACACGCTTACAGCGGAAGGGGGGGGGGGGGTGCGCTTGTATAACACATAACTTCTAATATATATCTGTGCCGTATTCTGCAGCCATGTACCAAAAAATATAAATACTTTGATGGACCCGGGGTCCTTCGTCGACTCCACAGGTGCATCATCTCAGAGGTTCACTGCACACAAAGCGGTGACTCCGTTCATTTGCTTTTCACACAACTAAGTTAATCACCGTGACTATTTGCCGAAGAGTTAGCGAGTCCTTCTAAAGCCCCACAGCGGAACAATTAACAATCGCAGTCTTCGCTTTAGCCAGTTTATAGAGGGGTCAACAAGACGTGTGACCCCCGTAGCGGCTCCTTGTTATTAACTGCACTGGTCACTAGTCACCGCTAGCACCCACATGAGGAATGTTTAGGGGGGGGGGGGGGGGTGTAATGAGTGCAGTGAGCCTGTGACTCAGACGGGGCTGATTGCTACATGCATGCGAGCACACACTCTTTTTCTTTCTCTCTCTCTCTCTAACACACATTGTGTGGAATGTAACACTGTCATGTGAGGAAGGGCTCAAATGCACCTACTGCGACAACCAGTAGAAGAAATGAGGCCGAGCATCACTTCACGCCCCGGACAAATTTCAGCTCGCCATCTTAAACACATGGTGTACTGTTTTTTTACATCTGCTGAAACGAGCATTAGACGGAGTGAGGTGCCAGGGACGCAGAAACGGGGGAAACAGAAGCATCATCCTCTTTGCACCGGGATGGATTTGTGTTTAATGGGACATATTTACACTATTTACAAGAGGTCTGCAATAAAACGGTCCAGTGAGTCTATGTAACCGGCGCCCGTCCCTCTCTGCAGTCCGACCCTTACGATGACCCACAGGAACCTGACGGGCAGTTGCAACGTGAACTGTGGCTGCCGGATCCACGAGTACGCCCCGGTGTGCGGCTCTGACGGCATCACCTACTTCAACCCCTGTCTGGCTGGATGCAGCACCGGGGGCAACGACAGCACCGGGGTAAACTCGCACACACACAGTCATACATCAGATAGAATTAAGTGAGGGAAATAATTGACACACAAACCATGATGAATAGACAAAGACCTGTTTGTTCTCTGTGCATCCGGAGCCCAGAGCTCTGAAAGTACAGGAAGGGTCCGACTCCACAACAATGTTGGATAGGAAGTTATAACGGCGTGAATAAAAGGCCAAAGGGAATGTCTGTATTGCTCCGCGTCCCTGGAGCCTCCCAGTCAGCCTGTGTGTGTGCGCTCCAGGCTTCCCGATTTGAATGGGACGTTGTACGTTGTGTGTCTCTCTCGCTCCAGATGAGGAACTACACAGACTGCGGCTGTGTGCAGAGCAGACAGGTCATCACTCCGTCCTCGGGCGGCCAGGTCAACCAGCTCCAACTGGTCATCGTTAAAACCTACCTGAACGAAAACGGCTACGCCGTCTCGGGGAAGTGTGACCGCACCTGCAACACCCTCATCCCCTTCCTCATCTTCCTCTTTATAGTCACCCTCATCACCGCGTGCGCCCAGCCCTCCGCCATCATCGTCACACTCAGGTGAGGTCCTCTTTTACAGCGTGCTTTGAGCACTGGTACGACATGGTACTGGTATCAGTAACGTGGACACAAACTGATCCCAAAAGATGTTACGCATAAATGTTTTACTTGAATGCGGCGAATCTCTCGTTTTCTCAGGTCCGTCAATGAGCAGGAGAGGCCTTTTGCTCTCGGGATGCAGTTTGTCCTACTCCGAACTCTTGGTAAGTTCCTGAATATTCACGTGTTGGTAAATGATAAACATATTGGGAGCCGCGGAATTAAGCGAAGGCAGCATATTTGTAATCAAACCTCCAGCAACTGGCGGGTAAATGACCACCTGAGCGGCCCTCAGGGTTAGTTTACTTTTGTCTGTCCTTCTCCACCCGTCCAGCCTACATCCCCACGCCCATCTACTTTGGCGCTGTGATCGACACCACCTGCATGCTGTGGCAGCAGGACTGCGGCGTGCACGGCTCCTGCTGGGAGTACGACGTCACCTCGTTCCGCTTCGTCTACTTCGGCCTGGCGGCCAGCCTGAAGTTTGTGGGCTTCATCTTCATCTTTCTCACCTGGTACTCCATCAAGCACAAGGAGGACCGGGAGGATCGCTGGCGCCAGCGCCTGCCCCCGCTGGGCACGGTCAGCGAGCTCATCTGCCACGCCGGAGGCCACAAGAGCCACGCGCGCACCCGCTCCTGCCCCGTGTTCATCCCGCCCAGGCCGGACCCGCCCGCCGCCCTGCTGCTCAACCGCGGCCACAGCAGCCTCAGCTGCCCCGGCAATGCCCTCAAAGCAATAACCCCGCCCGGCCAGCTGCCGCATCACCACGGAGGATCCGCCTGCGTCTGAGAGACCTCCAAGCGTCTCTTCCCCCCCCCGCCCCTCCCCGGGGGCCATTGTGACACGTGCCTTCCCGACACACGCGGTCTGCTTTACACCGATCGGGCTCCGCAGCTGCCGCAGGACACACGCGGGCGCGGCCGACATATTTAAAGGGCTGCTCACCGCTGCATCGTCTGACAACTGACAACTGCTCTTTCATTCCCGAGCGCGCCATGAGCCGCAGCCGCACACGGCACCCGCCCAGAAGGTCATGGCCGCCGCTCGAAGGTTTCGGATGATGCAAAGCCGCTTCACGGTGCTACTGATAAAGGGCAGGGCATTAATATCTCTGTAGGGACGAGCCTCATCGAAGCCTCTAAAGCACAACTGACACAAACTGTACTATGCAAGATCCCACGTACAGCTCCCTCTGTATTACATCTGTACCTCTTTCTTATTCCCGCGCACAATTACGCCCTGTGATCGTCGACTCATTAGGTGAATCTGTTTTTCCTTCCAGGCTGAGCTGTGGGCACATCGGCAACCTCTCTAGTGTTTGAGCCTTTTTCCGCCTTTTTCTCTTTTCTGGTGGTGTGGGATCATAACAATTGAAGAAGCGTTTTTTTTTTATTTTCCTTCCTTTTTCTGTAACTGTGCCTCTCAGGCTGTCTCGGCCAGTCCAGTACACAAAGCTAGCTCCCAGGCTAAACGCTAGCTACCCAATTGTCACTGTTCTCTCAGTTGAGTGACCAAGTTCTGCTTTGTTGCCCCCCGGCAACGTCTTTGGGAACAGTCGTCACTGAGCTGCACCCGTCGGACAAAGCTCCTCGCCTTTGCAAAGTAACCATGTAGCTTAAAGCTGACGAGCACCAGTGGCGCAGTGTTTATTGGCTTCTATGAAATCTCTATTTCATCTGACACCACTTCTCTTATAAGGTGTGGTAATTAGCCACGTGGCATAAAGGAATAACAAAGGTGACTCATCTCTGACTGTGTGCTGATGCTACTGTAACGATGTGATTGTACTTGAAACTGGAGATTTTGTAGAATTTGGCAAAACAAATCGACAAATTTGACCCACAATTCGCAACTTCTTCAAAGTTGAATTATTTGTATCATATCGATCTGCAAAAAAAATAAAAAATGGATGCGTCATTTTGGCTTTACATTGAAACGGCGTCTCCATGCTAATGGTCATCAAATGTACATAGCAGGTATCTTGTAGTTTAGGCTTTTAGGAAAGTAGTGAGGATGTGAAACAAAGCGACCCCAACGTGAGATGTTGACTATTGGGTTCCTGGGTGTTTAGGGCCCTCTAGTGGACAAAGGGGGGATTGTGCTACAGCCAGTGATCGCTGCTGTTTCTCACTGTACTATGGAATTCTTGGTTAAAAGGTTACTATTAAACTATTAAAGTTATTGCACTGAAATGTACCACACCAGATTGACATATAAGATAATTTGCACCTTCTGCAGCTTGAGATAATTTGGTCTGCTAATTGGTGGTAATGTCTACAACATTAGCTTTAACCAATGCTATGTTTTACTCAAATGGTTCTACTTTTCTTTTAATTTGGACTTATTTTCTTAGATAGTGCTTTAATATTTACTGCATTAGTATGATTTAAAAAAGATTTATACGGAAATAAAAGAAAAAAAGTTGTATAAACTATAAATTGGTTAGATTTAAGTTTTAGCTATTAAATATTTCAACACTAAGCAGTGACTATATTTTAAAAGTAAACATTTTGGGCCAAGGTTCACGGTATTCTGCCAGGTAAAGATTATCTAGTGTAACGGCAGTGACTTAAGTATTTCAGTATTGTGATGTAGCGCCTCAAATGACATATTCGTAAGTGATCATTGTGTAAATATTGACCAATCAAATGAGTATTATAGAGCTTACAGATAGTTAAACACATATTTATAAACTTACCCATGATATCGTAGTTGAAATGAAAAGAAAAAACAAAACTGAAAGCTACAAAACGGAGGACTAGTCCCGTTGTGCCTGAACTGTGTCATTCACGTGGGAAGGGTTGAGTTCATTGTGCGTTTATCACCGCTTCAAAAACGGAAAACCAATGTGGAAGTATTGATCAGGTCCTCTAGAGCGCCTAATGTGATCCGAAGTCATCTTACAACGAAGTATTTATCACGTTCCGTTGTGGCCGCTTATCAAATGGTGTTCAGATAAAATACTAAACGAAAAAGATATTTCCAATTCTCCTGTACTTACTGAACCTTTGTAACTCTTCAGAACGTACGCAGGGAGAATCATTGACACCGTTGTTCTCCACGCCTACTTCTTAGCATCCAGTGTCCTGCTGGTTACATGCCGGGTCTACTACTGACGCACATGACTTGGTTGACTGTAGATGTTCTTTTAACACTTCTTCCCCCTTTCATCAATATTTGAACCGAAAGTGAATTTCTGGGAAAGAACAGAAGCTCTACTCAGCAGCTGATGTCTGAACTTTTGGGTTTCCAAATGCCTTGAATACTTAATGTCATTAAAAAAAAAGTAATGGTATAAAATGATTGCCTTCGATGAATGTATCATTCCCGAGCAGTGTGTGTGTGTGACAGAACTTGCGGCGGAAACATCCCTGTGCAGGTTGAAAGGGTTTATTAACGGCGACGGGGCTTTCCTGAAGCCACAGTTATTAACACTTTGTACATCGTCGAGAGAGAAAAGGACAGCGCCAGGTTCATCTGCAGACGAAGGTACACCTGTTGCTCTCAGATCAACTACAGGCATGAAGGGTAAACGCTGGGATACGTTATGCAGTGGCTGCAGTGAGTATTTTACCGACCCATTAAGCAGTTTTAAATGGTACCAGAGTTGCACTCAAAACGAGGCTCGGACGACACACGAGGACTTTGTTGCATTTCCATTAAAACAAGTGTCACGGTGAACATTTTCTAATCCGTGGTGATTGTGGAAGGATTTATTTGTAATTTGTCATCATTTTACTGCAAATAAAAAGCTGTGTAACTCTGCAAAGTCAGAACTGCTGCATCTAATCGGTCAAGAGGAAGCTCAAGCTGTCAGTGTATTTACTTACTGTCAACTGTCGCATGATTGTCTAAATGTTCTGATATTATCGATGCTTTATGACTAGGAGGTAAAACAAAATACTGTCACTGGACAAAGCTGTTGATTCTTTGTTTGAAAAAATTAGTTGTACAATTTTAACTATAAATCATGTCCTCAAACATCACGTGGAAAAGTTCAAAAGTGCATTTTAACCTTTTTATCAATATGCAGGGGGGAGGAGGGGGGGTATTGTACTGCTGGAGTGACTGGGCAGGTTTATGATTTATAGATCCTTACAGAAGCTGACTAATGCGAACTATTCATTCAGATGTTGAAATGGTTTCACCACTCACACTTGTTTTTCATAAAAACATTAGAAACATCAATGCTGTTATCCATGCGGAATGAATTATTTTTAATCCCAACAGTTAAGTTTAGCTGCATTAAGGCTTTTTCTTTTCTAAATATATATTTGAAAAAACAACACTTTACTAAATTGTAGGCACCTGTAAAAAAATAAACAATAACTTTAATACTCCTTGTTCAACTCTGAGGTGGCATCACTTGCCTTTGCTCTTGGCAAGCTCATTTCCCAATAACTGTCTCTATGGCGACCAGCGGCTCTTTGGGGCGGCGGGGGGGGTCGGGGGCTGGCTGGCGCACGTGCGTCCGCCTCAGCGGGTCTGATTGGAGGTTTGAGGCAGAGAACCGCTGCCCTCGTAGTCCAAGGTGAGGGGCAGCGCCTGCGCCACCAACGGGACACTAGTCTGTGCGGTGGGGGGGCTCCGGGGGTCGCTGGCCTGCACCTTGGGCCTCAACATCTGCGGGGAGAGAGGGAGGTACCCCTGGGCCTGGAAAATGTCGTCGTCGTCCTCCTCCTCCTCTTCTTCGAGGCCCAGGCTGAGACGCTCTCCGGGGGCCCCGGCGGGCTTCAGCTGGGCTCGCGGGCCGTCGCGGGCCCCCAGCAGGTCGTCGCGTCGACTCTCCAGCTCCGTCATTCCGTTCCCGCTGAACATCCCCCCCTCCAGCTCCTCCAGCTGCTGTGCCCTCGGGAAGATCAGCCCGTCCCTCCCCGGAGCAGACGGCGACGCGGTGGACGGCCCGGGCCTGTTGAAAGCCTCTCGGGAATTTCGTTGGCGACTGATTCCGCTTTCCTTTCGGGCGGCGGTGGCGGTGGTGGTGGTGGTGGTGACGGCGTCGTGCTGGGGGCGGGGGCGGTGCGGCGAGCCTCCGCGGCCGGGACAGGCCAGACGTCGCCGGCTGAGGCCGACTCTTCCCCGCTGCCCTCCTCGGGGCCTCCACCCCCGGCCCCGGAGCCCTGCTCTGGCAGGGTGGCGTCGTCGTCGTGGGTTCGGTTGAAATGGTTAAAAACGTGTCGCAGTGCAAACATATTATCTATATCCTTCTGGAAGTTGACCCGGTTGTCAGGGCTGGGGCTGTAGTCGGGCCTACATTCATAAAGGCTTTCGTTTAAGCTGTACAGATCCTCCAGTCCCTGCCAGTTCACCTCCTCGTCCGTCAGGTTGGGGAGTTTAACTCTGTCGTCCGTCCCATATGGGCTGTGTGCTGCCAAACGGGGACAAGCGAAAAGGTGGTGAGAATCGGTTCAGGAAGAAGAAGGAACCTTTTTTTAAAAAAAAAATTTTTTTACACCATGCAGCAAACGGCAGCCTCCTGCTCTCAGAGGTCGAGGCCCCAAGCAACACACACACACACACACACACACACACACACACACACACACACACACACACACACACACACACACACACACACACACACACACACACACACACACACACACACACACACACACACACACAAACTGCAAAGTAGCATGAGACAAACACTAATTATCAAGCCGTGAGTAGTGCAAGACACATGCGGCCTTAGCGGTTCACATTAGAGACGGACAAAGGAAAAATACCAAATGCTCCATCCTAACAGACTAACACACTGAGCGGTACATTAAAAAATGGAAGTGCATTGAATGATAGGGCTGCGCTGGATTGAAATGCAAAGTCAGGCAACCTGGAATAAAAGAATTTCAGAGAAAACTAAAATTGTGATCAATTGTGAACAAAAGAAGATGCCCAGGGGAAGAAAACAAAACAAAGAAGCTCGCGGCTGAGTGGTGTATGCCCACAAAAATCAGAACCAAATTAAAAAATATACATTACAAAGAGAGGCAAATAAAAGAAAACTGCAGGAGAAAAGACGAGTGTCGGCAAAGTGAAAGCTGAGGAAAGGAAGCATCGATGTAAGGTTGGCTTTCCCTGTCAGATCAGCTTTGTTCAGCTGGAGAATGGAGATGGTTTCACATCGGCTTTGGGACTCACAGGAAGGAGGGGCTTGGTCTCCTCTTTGACCACTTTCGATGCGGCTGTTGCCTGGTAAGCAGGTATCAGAAAGGGAGGTCAAAAGGGGTCAGAGGTCAGAAGGAGGACAGAGAGTGTCCACTCTACTGCTAGCTAATGGCGTGTAACTAAGGAGTGTGAATATGAGAAGCATCTGAATGGCGTGCCGGACACCGGACCGTCTACTGGAGGATATTGATGAAATGACATGGAGGTGGATATTAAAGAAATAGTCCGACATTTACGGGAAATTTCTTATTTTTTTCCCAGGGAAATGGATTCTTTAAAATTGTAAATGGATTTGAACACCATTTTAGTCTTTCAAGCACCCCTTAACTCAACATGACAACATTTCCATTCAGGTACACATTCAGAGAACAGATGGCCGTCTTACAAAAGGGCCAAATGAGGATTTTGTCTAATGCTGATTCATACACACTCAAATGCAGATGGAACAGCCTTCCATGATCAATTAACCCAAGGAGGACTGAAAGAACCAAGGATCTAACCGCCAGTCCTCCGATTAGTGGACAGCACGGTCTTGATACCACTCTCATTTCTCGTCTGGGCATGCATGAAGCTGCAGCCAGGGGACAGTTATCTAAGCACAGCATATAGCCCAGAAGTAGCGAGCCCGCTCCCCTGGTAAGAACGCAAAGTATGCGCTTGTTGTGATATTTGAATTCACTAGTTTAGGAGATTCTGCTGAGCTAACCAGCTGAAAACTAAAGCTTCATATTCAGCGAACACATACGAGACCGGTATTTCATCTTATTGTCCAAAATGTCCGACTACTCCTTTAAGCCGTCGTGTGGAATGTGATGCGTAAGGTGGGATGATACGGTGTCATGCGCTGTCATTCACGTGCACCTGATGCTCGGGTCTCAAGTAGAAGCTCACCGCTTCGTAAATGTGACCTCTCACTTTGTATTTAGCCATGCTATCGCAAGTGTAGCTAAAGAGGCTTCGCTCGAGTCAATGTCATTTGAGCGGGTCACTGCTTAAAAAGGTTGCACTCTTAACACAAAGCTGGGAATATCTGCAAAATGTTCAGAGGGATTTTACACCGCACAAGTAAAGAGATATTGTTCGCACAAAGGTGACAACAGATGAATGTGCTTTAACGAGAGGAAGAAAAAAAAACATCCGTTAGGATTTGTTAGCGTCTCCCCAGCATGCAGCCACAGATTACGCGCCAGCAACTCCACGGATGGATGGATTTATTAGTGGGAATGAGGCAAATCGGCCCATGCAGGTGTTAAAAGAAAATAAGCCACTGAAGAGAAACAAAAATCGGTGGATACCTGTGTGGCTCATAGCTTCCTCCATCTTTACCTCCTGATCGGAAAAAATAAAAGCAATCGATTGTTAATGCTCTGAATCAGAGAGATACGGGAGGGAAATAAATAGATCATTCACGCTGAAGATTTCTTCATGCACAGCTGCAGCTCCCTAAGGAGAAATGCAATTATCCCACGATCAGAATGAGGAGGGAGGGATGACGAGTAAAGAGATTTGGATGTGAATGGAGGAAAACTGGGAGGGGAAAATTTGAAAGTTCATACGATGGTGCCGGGCGGAGATGACGATTGATCAGAACTGAGTGTTTTGTGAGGTGCGGAGGTCAACCGGGGTTTCCCTTTCAAAGCAAAACACACAAGGTTATCCAGTCAGGTGATCCTGTTAGTTAAGTCACACATAACAGATGCAAGTAAATAAGTAAATGTTGGATCCATTTCACCAGAGAGTTATATTTGAATAATCTACTCCCCCCCCCAAAAATCTGGCATCACACCCGAGCAACGGCAGCCGGTAATTACAGACATCAACGTTTAAACCTCAGGACATAAAGAAGGCGGCCAGTTTGTGCCACACGCGAACGCTTGTGCCATCCAGGCGTCGGGCATCTCTGCATTCACTTATTAACCACCACCGCTTGCTAGGACGTTTGCTCGGCTGGGATGCTTAGAACTTGTGGTGGTAGTAAAAAATAGAAAGTACATTGTGGCGGATGATGGTGGTGATGCCTGACGGAGCCTAAATAAAATGACAGCCTCAACTGCCCTGATGACAGCGCCCTCAAAATAACAGTGAGTCACAGCCGGGATGACAGCCAGGACGATGATCTGTGACACGACCCCCAT